GACTGGGCCCTGGGGAGGTTTGGACCATTGTTTGGCCCTTGGCTTTGCCTGGAAACTCCCATCTTTCAGGGAGGGATCTCGTGTGGTGACACAGGCTGCAGTGAGGACTTGGTCAGTCCCATCTGTATAAATATATTGGAAACAAATGTGTGCTCTCCTGGAGGGGGGGATAGGGCAGGCACCCGCTCTCCATCCAAAATCCCCTCTTGTTTTTGCTCACCACCAGCAGAACTACACCTCGTTTAAAGATGAGATCCTTCTAATTATGAAAACTTCCTTGCTCTTTTTTTGTGGCTGTCTGGCTGCCAGCACTCGGGTGTCTGTGTTGAAACACACATCTCCTTCTTGTGACACTCTGCGTGCCAGACTGGAAGGCTGGTGAGGAAAGGAGCTTCTCCATCCCATCACCCCAGCACCCCTCCTGCACACGGGCCATGGGGAAGTGGGTAATTCCTCACCAGTCAGCTTCTGCTTCTCTGAACTTGGCTTCAAGGTCTACGTGCTAACCAGCAGTGAGGAGGCAGAAGGGTAGGAGCTGTGGGTTGATGAACTTGAGGCTTGGATCTTGCAATATTTTGGGTACTTTCAAAGCTTGGATACTGGCCTAGGTTGCCCAGAGAGGTGGTGGAAGCCCCAACCCTGGAACTGTTCCCAGTCAGGTTGGCCAGGGCTCTGAGCACCCTGCTCTAGTTGGGGATGTCCCTGCTCAGGGCAGGGGGTTGCACTAGGTGAGCTTGAAAGGTCCCTTCCCACCCAAACTGCTCTGTGGTTCTGTGGTTCTATGATCTTGATCAGCTCCAGGGAATTCCTGCTTTCTTGCAGGGGATCCTCTGAAGATTTGTCTCCTTTTAACTTTTATTCCTGTTTTTTCCCTCCTCTCTTTATACTGTGTTATCCCTTCTCTGGAGAGATCCCAAACCTGCCTGGCTGTGACCCTGGGCACCCTGCTGGGGGTGAGCTGCTGGAGCAGGGGGGTTGGAGGAGATGATCTCCAGAGGTCCCTTCCCACCCCAGCCGTGCTGTGAGTCTGAGATTCCCACTGTGTGGTTTAGCTTGGCATAGATGCCAGCCCCTGCTTCTAGTAAAGATAAACCTGTTGGCAGTGTGGGAGCAGGGCAGCCAGCAGGCATCTGCCTGAGCCTGGAGCCAGCAAACAAACCCCCCTCTGCCTGCAGGCTCCTGGGAGGCAGCTGCTGTCTCAGCCAGGGTTGTACTGAAGCTTCTTGGAACGGGGATTGAGGCAAGGGCAGTGAGTCACGAGATGCTTGCCCTCTTGCTCCTTCCCATCCTGTGGGAAGAGGAAGGGAAACAGCTTTGCCAGATTCTCCGGAGAAGCTTAGGAAGGAATTCACTATCCCCATCCTTGTTTCCATCCTGTGGCAGCTGCTGCATGGTAGAAGGGGGATCTCTGCCCCTCTCCCTGCAGCTCGAAGCCTGTGTGCCATGCTCTGGCTGTTCCCCATGGGGAGCAGGGAGATTGTCCCTCCTCCAGCTCTGCCCACTCGGCAGCGGGCACCAATGTGGTGGCACCGAACAGGTGGAGAAGTCCTGGGGTTGGGGTGAGCCCTTTGGCCACCCTCCACCACCCCCAGTGCCACCCCACAAAGACAGGGGGCTGTGACAGCCCTGCCCGTGGCCACGCTGGCGAGGCAGGTCCCTCCTCATCCTCCTGGAGCTGCAGCTTCCCGGGATACCCTGCTGTGAACCGCAGAACTGTGGAGCCTCGGCAGGTCTCAGCAGTCTCTGCACACTGCCGTGCTGCTGCCCCTGCCCTGGAGGGCAGGGCTGGGGGTCCCCATTGCCCGGGGGCCCTGCCAGGCTCCACGCCAGCAGCGGGCACAGCCTCCCGGGTGAAACCCATCCCTTTTCCCCCTCCTCTCCCTCTGTCCCTGTTGTTTGGAGAACAGGGGAAGGGCCGAGGCAAAGGCAGGTGTGCAAACAGCCCCTGCAGCTTCCCTCTGCTCAGGCCCCTGTGCTCCTCACCCGCCAGCAGATATTAAAACAATACATTCAGAGCCTTCTGGTGAAAGCTGTTTTCCCTCTGGCTCTCCAGCCCCTCTCGAAGGGTGGGATCCAGATCTTTATCCTTCCCTGCGTGCACGTGGGAGCCTTTCCTAGAGCCTGGTGTTGCTGCTGCACATCTCACACTCTGCTTTCCCCCTTCCAAGCACAGCTTTGGGGTTGCTGTGGTGGGTTTTGGGGAGCAAGCTGTGTGTCACAAACTTGCTGCCACCCCGGTAGCTCATGGCCCTGAGGGCAGCGTGCCAGAGATGCAGCTGAAGGAGTGTGTCCACATTATTCCAACGTGCCACGAGGCATTTTGGGGGAAGGAAAGGGCTCTGTCTGTGCTGGGTTTAAAGTAAGTGGCCTGTGCTGGATGCCAGAGACAAAGGAGAGCTAATAAGAAGCTCGTTAAGCTGCTGCTGGATGTATTTTCCACTGCAGACTCGTTTCTCCTGCCACAAGCTTCCCCTGCTAACTGCTGTTCCAGGCAAAAGCATTTTCCTGACATTTGTATGTTCATTTATATACAGCCTCCAAAACGCTGGAGCTCGTCACCCTCCATCTCCAGTGAACCATTTTTCCTGCCCGTGGGCCACATCCCACCACACAGGAGGTGTGAGGGGAGGCCAAGGATAACACGGCCCTTCAATGGTCCCTTAGTGCTCCTGTGGAGGCACGGGAAGGGAGCAGAGCTGTGCCTCTGTCTGAGCACCCCTCTGCCTGCTCCAGCACCCCTCTCCTCCAGGCAGATCCGTGTGTCCCAGCAGCATGGGGGGGAAGAGCAGAGCCTGGCTCTGGGGCTGTCACTCGTGGCCTGGCTTTGCAACAGGTTTGTGTTCAACCTCCTGCTTGCAGGTTTTCAGAGAGTCACAGAATGGTTTGGGTTGGAAGGGACTTTTAAAGGTCATCTAGACCTAGTCCAGCCCCCTGCCCTGAGCAGGGACATCCCCAGCTAGAGCAGGGTGCTCAGAGCCCCGGCCAACCTCCCCTGGGATGGTTCCAGGGATGGGGCAGCGACCACCTCTCTGGGCAGCCTGGGCCAGGGGCTCACCACCCTCAAGGGTCAACAGTTTCTTCTTTCTCTCTAGTCCAAATCTCCCTGTTTTAGTTTCAAACCATCACCTCTTGTCTTGTCCCAACAGACCCTGCTAAAGAGTCTGTCCCCAGCTTTCTGTCAGGCCCCTGGAAGTCCTGGCAGGGCACCAGAAGGTCTCCCTGGAGCCTTCTCTTCTCCAAGCTGCCCAAGCCCAACTGTCTCCTGCTGGGCTCCCAGCAGAGCTGTCCCAGCCCTCTTTTGTCCTCTCCCTCAGCTTCTTGCTTGATCTCACAGGGAGCTCTGACCTTGCTGATGGCTTTCCAGCAAATCCAAGCATCTTTCTGCCACTCAGGTTCAAAGTGCCAGGCAGGAAGGTCTCCTGCAGGAGGGCCAACAAGACCAGGGAGTGCTGGGTTGCGTGGGCTTGGTTGTGGGTCACAGACCATCCTAGTGCTTGGGGGTCACCCGTGGGTGAGTCCCCTGCAAGTGGCTCACTCGCTTCACTCTGTCCATTTAACTTCTGCCTGGAAATTGAGGCTTTCCTGGTGGATGCTGGATTTCAGTGGCTTTTCTGATGGATTTTTCTCTGCTTAAAAATAGCTCTTTTCAGGAAGTGGCTGCAACTCTACGTAAACTGAACTTAGGATAGTAATCACTCAAGGAAGAGTCAGTGCAGGACTGAGCATGTGGAGGTGAAGGTGCTCGAGCGAGACCCGGCGTGGCAGGAGGGTGGTGGGGGCAGCTCTGTGACCATCACAGTACTGAGTGTGTGTGCCTGGGGGCTGTTTGGGCTGGAATCAGGCAAAACAAGGACCGGAAGACCGTGGCAGGGGGGAGGACGGGGCCGTTCCTCCCACAGGAAGCCCAGGATTAGGACACTGGCTGGATTGTGCGGACGGGCGATGACGCTGCCGGAGCCACGGCAGCACGGCTGACCCGGCAGCTCCTGCCCGAGGAGCTGGGGCTGGGTATGGCACAGCGAGTGAAAATAAACACAAAGGCTCCAGCTGGAAGGGCTGTGAGCCCAGGGACTGCTGGGAAGCTGTCAGTCTTGTGGGTGGCTCACACAGGCCCAGGGCTTTCGGCCACCACCCTGCTGCTGCGGCGAGCCCGGCTCCTGCTGTGGCTCTGGAGCTGTGATCTGCTCCTGCCCTCCATCCCAGCTCTGCCTTGGCTGGGTGGGGATGGAAGGGGAAGCCCCTCCTACCCTAATCTTCCCGGTGCTGTTGGCTCTGTCAAAGCCCAGCCTTGGCCACCAGCGTGATGGCCCCTGGTGCTAGCAGCTCTGGGGGACGCTGTGGTGGAGCCCCGAGTGGTGTCTGGGATGGTTTGTGGCCTGGGCTCTGTCTGCTGGGCTTTAAATACACTTCTGATGAAGTTTTGCTTCCTTGAGTCCTACAGAGTGTTTATAGCACAGTGCAAAGTGATCTGTAACGGCCCCGGGTTCTTCTTGGCTCCCTGGTTAAGGAGAGAAAGTTGGGCAGGACTAGAGACAGAATGGTTCTGGTTGGAAAAGCCCTTTCAGCTCCTGGAGTCCAACCTTTCCCCCAGCACGGCCAGGTCCCCACTGCCCCGTGTCCCTCACCCCACATCTCCACAGCTTGGAAACCCCTCCAGGGGTGGGGACTCCACCACTGCCCTGGGCAGCCTGGCACAGCCCTGGACAACCCTCCAGGGCAAGAAATTGTTCCTCCGGGACAACTGAAACCTCCCCTGGGGCAACTTGAGGCTGTTTCCTCTTGTCCTGTTGATTGTTCCTTGGGAACAGCTCCTGTCAGGAGCTGTGCAGAGCCAGAAGGTCTCCCCTGAGCCTCCTTTGCTCCAGGCTCAGCACCCCCAGCTCCCTCAGGAACACTGGTGTGGTCACACAGCACCCTGGTGCTGAGGTGCCCGATGTGGAGCCCATCTCAAGCTGACCCTGCACGTTTCTCCTCTGTCCCACAGGCTTAGCAGGAACAGCCTGGTAGGGTCCATCTCGGCTAGACACGGATGATGCCAGAGCTATGACAGGGACTGCAGCCTTGGCACTGAGGGGTGATCAATTATGGAACAACTACAGGAGGAAGTACCTGAGGTCAAGGAAGAGGAGGAGGAAGAGGCAGTGAGGGTGGCAAGTGGAGCCTCAGATCCAAGTGGAGGACCAGACAACTCGTTGCCATCGAGCAGCTACACAGGTGAGTGGAGCCACAGGAGCTCCAGCTCTCTTCCTGGAACATCCACGCCTCTGGGCAGCGTGTGAGGGCAGAGGATGTGCCTGGGAGGAGAGTTGAGCTTGTTTTAATCTCTTCCTTTTGTGAAATAATGTGTTGGGAGCCAAGAACATTATTTCTTCCTCTGTGGTCACTGCACAGCCATTGGCAGCAGGTCAGAGGATGGAAATGAAAAGGATGGGCAGGTAACGTTGTGCCCCAGGGTGAGGGGCCTCTCAGGGCCCCTGCCAGTGTGTCCCTGGCCACTTGGTGCAAACTGATCGTAGGATCTTGGGGTGAAGGTTTGTTTGTCCTCTGGAGCCTTGTGCCAGCCCCCTGCCAACAGGGGATTATAGAATTTGCTGGTTGGGTTTCCTTGCCTAGACATGAGTGCCAGAGGGAGGAAATCAGCATCGGTGTGGAGTCTCTCAGCTCCTGGGGGCTCTGCTGGCTCTGTGCTTGGCACCTGCCTGCCGCCAGCACCTGCTCTCAGGGGGCATCTGCCCAGGGGCAGTTCCAGCAGCAGGGAGGGACAGTGCTGGGAGCCTGGGGGAGCTGGGCTTGGCACTGGACTGGTGGAACAGAGGTGTGGCTGTGTGTGTTCACAGACCTGTCGCAGAGCTCCTCGCCCTCCCTGTCGGACCAGCTGCAGACGGGCTGCGAGGAGGCGGCTCTGGGGGCTCTGAACGTGGAGTGCAGGGTCTGTGGGGACAGAGCCTCGGGCTTCCACTACGGCGTGCACGCCTGCGAGGGCTGCAAGGTGAGTGCAGCCTGCCTCCCACGGCCCCGCCCCTGGGCAGGGCTGCCCCTCCAGACAGGCAGATTGGCAGCAGAACGGGGATTTGGCATCGAGGGGGTGTGAAAAACTGATTACAACCTGCCCAGAGAGCGTGGGGAGTGCAGGCAGGCACACAAATATTGTCCCAGGGGGGAAGCTGAGAGGCGTGTGGCCCAAATTTTGCCCTGTCATGCTTTACTTTGTAAAGCCAATCCCATCTATCGCCATGGGGACCCTGGCTTTGCTTTGAAAGATCCTTTCTGTGCTGCAGATGAGCACTGGGCTGTGTGTTTATCCCTGCTGGGATCACTGGTCGCAGCTTGGATGTGCCTCTGAAATTCTTTCCCCCCCCGTCAGATGCCAGGGGGGCTGCAGTTAGTGGCCCAGGTCCTGCCAGCCATTCCTGCCAGCCAGGGCCAGCCCACAGCTCATCCCTCCATCCCTCCCTGCTGGCTGGCTGCAGTATGACACACGGCGTCCAGCACCACGCCGTGGGCTGCCCTCCACGGCCCCTCTGCAGCCCCCTCCTCCCACCCCACGGCCTCCCCTCGGGACAGAGACCCTGAGCTGCTCCTCCCCACTCGGCTGAGACTCCGTGGGGCTCCTGGGGACGAGGAGCCAGCCTGGTGCCCACCCTCAGGTGCTAAGGCTGCTGTCCCCTTGTCCCCCTGCTCTGTGCCACCCGCCCGCAGGGATTCTTCCGCCGGACGATCCGCATGAAGCTGGAGTATGAGAAGTGTGAGAGGAGCTGCAAGATTCAGAAGAAGAACCGGAACAAGTGCCAGTACTGTCGCTTCCAGAAATGCCTCTCACTGGGCATGTCCCATAACGGTGAGTGGTGTCCCCCAGGGCCACGGGCCTGGCTGGCTGGGTGCCACAGGGCCAGCTGCCCCCCTGTGACAGGCTGTATGCGGCGTGTTCTGTCCCTTCTGGCAAGGGCATCATCTTTCCAACCCAGTGCTTTGGGCCTGTGACTTCATCCCCTTCCATACAAGAGGCTGTTCCTTCCCACCATCCTTCCTGCTGTCCCTTCCCACCATCCTTCCTGCTGTCCCTTACAGGTGGCCCAGGGGGGAGCTGGACACACAGATGGCTCTTCTGTGCTGGGGTTTTTAAACTTTAGGTGTAACCATTCCTGGCCAAGCAAAGGTGTTTCTGTGGGAAGCAGGGTGGGTGTGAGAGCCCAGAGGAGCAGGGATGGGAGTTCAGGGCTGTGTTGGGGGATAGCAGTGGCGGCCAGTCCACAGAGGTGTCGATGCTGGAGGAGCTGCAGACCTGGAGGAGCATCATGTGGTGGAGCTGCAGGTGATACCCAGCAGGGCTGTGTCTGTGGTGGCAGAGCAGGCTGCTGCCTCCCTGGGCACACCTCCCGGGGTCACCCCAGTGTCCTGACCTTGGCTTTGCCCTCCCTGCAGCGATCCGCTTCGGCCGCATGCCGGAGGCAGAGAAGAGGAAGCTGGTGGCAGGGCTGACAGCCAGCGAGGGCAGCTGCCAGAACCCACAGGTGGCCGACCTCAGAGCTTTCTCCAAGCACATCTACAACGCCTACCTGAAAAACTTCAACATGACCAAAAAGAAGGCGAGAGGTATCTTGACCGGGAAGGCCAGCAGCACCCCAGTAAGTTCCCTCTGCAGGGCAGGTGGGCTTGGCCAGGACCAGCGTGGTGGGGCTGTTCTCTGGGAGGTGCTGCACGTCTCCCTCCTGCTGTAGCTGTTCCACATGCACCATCTCCCACCTGCAGCCAGCTGGGATCCACACGTCCTATCCCTCACTGGGAAAATTCCCATTGCTCTGCAGACTTGTGCTGTCTTGGGTGGGTGCAGATTGCCCAGGCACTGACAGGCAGACAAATCAGAGAATCATAGAACTGTTCTGGTTGGAAGAGACCTTTCAGATCATGGAGTACAGCCCTTCCCCAGCACTGCCAGGTCCCCACTGCCCCGTGTCCCTCACACCACATCTCCACGGCTTGGAAACCCCTCCAGGGATGGGGACTCCACCACTGCACTGGGCAACCCTTGAGCAGAAGAAATTGTTCTTCAGGTCCAACCTCAACCTCCCCTGGAGCAACTTGAGGCCGTTTCCTCCTGTCCTACCCTTGGGAGCAGAGCCTGACCCCCACCTGGATCCAAGCTCCTGTCAGGGAGCTGTGGAGAGCCAGAAGGTCTCCACTGAGCCTCCTTTGCTCAGCACCTCCAGCTCCCTCAGCTGCTCCTCCCCACACTTGGGCTCTAGCCCCTTCCCCAGCTTCATTGACCTTGTCTGGTCACGCTCCAGCAGTGCCACTGTCCTTGGCGTCGTAAGTCCCAGGGACAGGTTCCTAACCACCTGCTTCTTTTCCAAGCAGCCTTTTGTGATCCACGACATGGACACCCTGTGGCAGGCAGAAAAGGGGCTGGTGTGGAAGCAGCTGGTGAATGGCATCCCCCCCTACAAGGAGATCGGGGTGCACGTCTTCTACCGCTGCCAGTGCACCACGGTGGAGACCGTGCGGGAGCTCACCGAGTTCGCCAAGAGCATCCCCAGCTTCATCGGCCTCTACCTGAACGACCAGGTGACCCTGCTGAAGTACGGGGTGCACGAGGCCATCTTCGCCATGCTGGCCTCCATCATGAACAAGGATGGGCTGCTGGTGGCCAACGGCAACGGCTTTGTGACCCGGGAGTTCCTGCGCAGCCTGCGCAAGCCCTTCAACGAGATCATGGAGCCCAAGTTCGAGTTTGCCGTCAAGTTCAACGCCCTGGAGCTGGACGACAGCGACTTGTCTCTGTTTGTGGCTGCCATCATCCTGTGTGGAGGTGAGCTCTTGGCCGTGGGAAGGTCAGGAAGTCTTCCTGGACTTGGAGGTTTGGGGTGGCTGAGGTGTAGCTGGCCCTGAGATCAGCCGGTGAAACCAAAGCTGCTCGGTGGTGGGGACACCTCAGCAAGCTTGGGCCAAGGGCGAGGCGTGCAGAGGTGTCACCTCCTTTGTGCTGCTGTGAGATCTCTTGTCCAAGGGGACACTTCTTCCCTTGTCTAGTGGGCGAGGTTGGAGTCATGGTGGGTGGGTCACCGTCCCCACCTCCCTTTCCCCAAGAGGAGCATGTGCTTTGGAGGGCTACCCCATCCCCTACAGCTGCTGTGCTTCCTCTCCACAGACCGCCCTGGCCTGATGAACGTGAAGCAGGTAGAGGAGATCCAGGACAACATCCTGCAGGCGCTGGAGTTCCACCTGCAGACGAACCACCCAGATGCCCAGTACCTGTTCCCCAAGCTGCTGCAGAAGATGGCTGACCTGCGGCAGCTGGTGACAGAGCACGCCCAGCTCGTGCAGAAGATCAAGAAGACAGAGACAGAGACATCTCTGCACCCGCTCCTGCAGGAGATCTACAAGGACATGTACTGAGGACCTGTTATTTATGAGAACGAAGCCATGGATTCCCATCCGGACTCTTTGTACAGAAACAAAGGAAAACTTTCCCCACGTCTTCCATTTCTTCTACTGGAAACTTTTGGAGGTGACCCCACCGTACGGTACATGGGGGGAGTTGCCTGAAGATTTGGCAGCCACCCCCTGCTGGGCCAGGGCTCCTGTTAACACACACTAACAACAGCAAATCCTAAGCAACTCTTTCCGTTACTGCAGCTCAGCTCTTCAGCTGCTGCCCGGGGCCTCTGGGGGGGTCTCCACAGCCTGGCTGGGGGGTTCCTGCAGCAGTGGGGCCAGCGTGGGATGCTCGGGGCACCCGGAGAGCCAAGGTGGTGTGGGTGGCCAGCAGGGCCAGCAGGGCCAGCAGCAGCACTTACTTGTGTGTCTTTCTTTTCTTTTTCGTATTGCACTCCACACACAGTGTCCTGAGCCCTGGAGTCCAGGATGGTGTGATGAAAGGAACCTTCTCTCTTGCCCAAAGAAAAGCCAGAGTGTTTGAAGACGGGTAGGGCTGTCCCCACAGAGACCAGACCCTCAGCTGCAGCCCCCACCCCATTCTGCAGCGTTTTCCAGGCTCCCAGAGGGGTCCTGGGAGCTCTGCCTTCCCCCAGGGGCTGTGTGGGAGCCCTTGCTCCTGCTGACCCCATTTCAGAGGGAACCTGCCCCTCGGGATGAGAGAGGGAGGGGCAGGGAGGTGGGAGGGAATGGGGTTGCTGTAAAAATTCACCTTCAGAGCAGAGGCCAAGGTCTGTGTGCTTCCCTGGTGATGCTGAGCAGGCAGGACAGCCAGGCACAGGCCCAGGGCTGACTGGTCAGGGTTTGGGTGGCAGCAGGGCTGGTGGCTTGTCCCCCAACTCCTTTCCCAAGCCCCAGGAGGCTCAGGGGGGGCTTTGCAGGGCAGTGTGAGCAACAGAGGCTCCCCAGCAGCGCAGCACTGGAGCAAGCAAAGCCCTCAGGAACACCAGCAAGGAGAAAGGGAAGAGCCACGACCAGCCCATGAGTGCTCGTGGTGCCGAAAGGGCATTGACTGACCTGGCTGTCCACTGTCCTGCCCCGGTGTCCCCTCTCAGAGGGAGCTGGGTTGTTACCTGCTCGGAGCAGGAGCTCAGGGATTAATCCCTGCATTGGTTGCAGAGAGCTCTGCAGCTGTAAAACATGGAATGAAGGCCGAGGCTATGAAAGGGGAGGGAGAGGGTGGGAGGCTCGGAGCAAGCAGGAGCTCTGGAGGGGGTGGGACAGCTCCAGGCTTCGGGGTCTGCCTGAGCCCAGAGCCCTCCTGGGATTTTCCTCACAACTTCTCACAGCTGTAGCGAGTCCCCTCAGTGCTGCCTCAGCCCGGGACCCCTCCGTGGGGCTGCTGCATCCCCCGGGCTCCAGGGGAGAGGAGGGACCCGGGCAGGGCTCAGTCCCTTCTGGGGGTGATGGTGTCTGACCTCAGAAGTGGCGCTTACCCGCCTGCAGCTCGTGGTCCCTGCTAACGAGCAGCCTTATTAAAACACCGATATCCCCAGGGAGGGGGTGTGGGAGCAAAGGAATCCGTTTCATTTTTCTCCTCCTCTTCAGGGTAAGCAGATTTCCCTGGTGCAATAATTCCTTTAAAAGCCGAGGGGGAGGAGCGCTGGGCTCCCCGCCCCTCGGCGCTGGTCCCAAACCTGCCCCGCTGCCGACCTCCGGCTCCTCGCCGTGCCTCAGTTTCCCCTGCCCGCTGCCCGCCCAGCCCCTTCCCCTCCCTACCTCGCAGGGATGTTCTGAACGACCGTTTCTAAAGCACTTTGAAGCCCTCTCGGGGAGGGCACCGGACCGTGCGTGTGCTGGGCGGAGCCCGGGGGACGGATCCTTCCCGGAGGCCCCGGTGCCTCCCCCGGCGTGCAGGACTCGTGTGCTCATCACCTGAGGAACTTTTTGCTCTTCCCTCCTCCACAGTGTAACGACCCTCAAACTGAAATGTATATTTTTGCTAGAAGTACAAACCTCTCAAGTGTTTTTAATAATATAAATAGTGTCCACGAACTGACTTGACTTCAAATAAATCTGAACGAAGTATTTAAGAACCTTTTAGAGTTCAGACTTTCTTTGTGGGATTTCTCTCGGCCCCTAGGGGGGCTGCCTGGGGTTTCCAGCAGAGGGGATGGGATTTGCTGTGATTTCCAGGGATTTGATGGTACAAAACTGGGAGGAGCTGCTGTCCAGTGAGACTTGAACAGGCTGGAGGGGTGGGTGGAGAGAAACCTCACGAAATCCAACAAGGGCCCCTGGGGAGGAACAACCCCACGCACCAGGACAGGTGAGGGGGTGACCTGCTGGGAAGCAGCTCTGCAGAGAAGGACCTGAGAGCGCTGGGGCACGAGTTCACTGTGACCAGCAAGGTGCCCTCATGGCCAAGAAGGCCAGTGGTCTCTTGGGGTGCATTAAAAAAGAGTGTGGCCAGAAAGGAAAGGGAGATTCTCCCCCTCTGCTCTGCCCTGGGGAGGCCACCCGCTGACCAGTGCCTGTCCAGCCCCCGAGCAGCATCCCCTGGCCAACTTTCCCCCTAAGTCCTGTGCTGGGCATGACGTCTTGTCTGGACTAGCCCTTTGGCCAGCTTGGGTCAGCTGTCCTGGCTGTGTCCCCTCCCAGCTCCTTGGGCGCCCCCCCACACCAGCCTCCTCACTAGCCAAGCATGAGAAGCTGAAAAATCCTTGACTTAATGTAAACTCTGCCCAGCAGCATCTGACACACCAGCGTGTTATCAACTGTATTCTCATCCAAAACCCAAAACACAGCTACTGGGAAGAAAATTAACTCCATCCCCCCCAAAAGCCAGTCACCATCCAAGGCCATAAATAGCCCTGGGAGGTAGCCCAGCCCTCTGAGCTGCCAGGGAAGAGATGGAGTCGGGCTCGCTGGTGGTATCTGGGGCGTTAAGGGCCCGAGGGGGCTATCTGAGACCCCTCTGCAGGTAAGGGTCAGGGAGGGGGGTTTGGAGGCAACTGGGATCAGGTTTTGGGGGCGATGAGGAGGGGGGGTTGGAGGCAACTGGGATCAGGTTTTGGGGGCGATGAGCTGGGGGTGAGGCTGTGAGCCCCTCGCTGTGGGGGCAGAGAGTGGCTTGTGATGCCCTTCACCCCCCCCAATCCATTTGTTGAGGGTGAGGGGCTGGAGGGGACAGAGTCTGTCTGTCCGGCTGCC